AGCAGCATCTGGTCACAAGGAAAAAACACACAAACTTGGCTGGATTTGTGCAACATGAAATGGCCAGGAAGGGAGAGATGCAAGAATATGGATGATACAGCCTCTTATTAAGAGGATGCATGTTGTATCACAAGAGACGATAGGACAGCTAATCAGTTTGGTTCACGATCTCACCTGCACAGTTTGTAGAGCGTGTAGTAGCTGTGGCAGTTGTTTGGCTTGAAATGACAACTGAAATCTCCACATTTGTTTTTCTCAAAATAATATTTAAACTTTAATCTCAAAATTGCAAATTTAATATTAAAATGGACACTGATTTTATTCACTCCACAACTCTTTTGTAAACGTGGTTATGTCTACTCTAATGAGTTTTCTTGATTGGAAATTCTTTGTTTTTAATATTTCAAATGCTTTTTTTTATGGTTTTGCACTAAATGTTTATCTTTTGTCTTTTTCAACTAATGAATTTTGTGAGTCACATCGTATTGGAAACGTCTGGCCCAAGGCTCTATTTTTGCATCCTATTGTAGGGTGGCAGTTGGAAGACATTTTTTAATAAAGGAGGGTAAAAGTCAAAAGTGTCTCTTTCCCTGTAGAGCTCAGGACATTTCCTGTCTGTTTTTTTTTTCTACATGCCCTTTTCTTTTTCCTTTCATCCTTCCTCTCTCTCCTCCTGCTCCCTGCCTGCAGATGATTGGTATCAGTTCCACATTATGGAGCCTATAAATGTACTTTTTCCTGGAAAGCCCCACACACACACACACACACACACACACACACACACACACACACACACACACACACACACACAGATCCAAAATGCACATTGCAGACATAAATACACTCACAGGGTATAGCAGTGACTTGCCCCATCTGTGCTTTTTTTTCTTGCTGAAGATAAAAATGCTGGATTATGTCTGTGGCGGCCTTTGAAAATTTAACACACGTGCACATTTCTACACATTTTGTACTGACACTTACTTTTATTGCAGAGGCTATTTTTGACATTGATGTGAACATAAGCTTGTAATCCTTTACTCTCACTTCCTAGTTATTGCCCCCTCTCATTCTTTTCTTCTGTTTTCCATTCTTCTCGTGTCATTGTGTCTTTCCCTCTCTGTCTTACTTCTCTTCATCAAGTCTTCCCCATCTGATCTCTCGGTAATGACCTGATCTGATTGGATTTGGTCTCATATTCCTTTCCCTGGCTAATAGCCATTACTGTTGCTAGGCAGCTGGGATCAAAACATTGGCAAACATGGCTGTTGCATAGGACCTCTCCGACTGTAGAAACAGATCACTTATTTGCCTTGTCAGGTTTCTTTGCCATCACGCAGTTCAAGAAAAGCATTTTATTCTAATAAATGCAAGTTCAAGGCAGATATGGAAATGAGTTGATCATTATTTCATGTCAGTGTGATCTTTGCTCTTTAGCTATGTTATGCTTCCAACTTATTATCTGTATTTAACACATCAGGGCTAAATATAGATAGCTATTTTATAATTACCATTTTCATATCAGTGCTGGGTGATTTCTGTCTCAGGGACATGCTTGAAAATACAGTGTTATCGCTGGAACTCAAAAGCTTGCTCTCAGAACAGAAATACACTAGGAATGCTAGGAACTGAATTTACTACATCAAGGGGAACCAGGACACTAGAAAGACAAGAGGGTGTGGGAACCATGAGGGAGGCTGCCACAAAGAGCAAAGGGAGACAGGGAGATAATATATCCACATAAAATGACAAGGGAACAGGCAACAGGTGGGGAACATGGTTGAACAGAATTAAAGAAGTTAAACTGAAAATGACATACATGGGACAAGGACCTACCAAAGTAAAACAGGAAGTACCTAAAACAGGGGCCTAAACTTAGACAGAGCAGAACTAAAAAGGGAACCCTGGCAACCACAGAGACAGGACACACAGACCACTCAGAAACAGGGACACGACTAGGGAGCCAAGACTGACTTCACAAGGAAATACAAAGGAAGGACAAAACACAGGGACGAGACAAAGGAAACAAGAGGGGAAATGAGTAGAGGACCTAGATGTGACGGGACGAAACAAAAAGGAAAAGAGCAACTGAAAGAGGAATACAGCAAAGGTAACCAATACTAAGCAAACCAGGAATCTCATAATGTGACTATGGTAAAGAGTTATAGCTCTACGATAATAACTTGAGCTTGTGCAAGCTAAGTGATATAGAAGCACCCCTTGCCTGATGTTAAATTAATTTCCATTAAAATAGAAGGAGATTGCATTACCTGTGTAAGAACTTACCGCTTATTTATGGAAATGTAGTATTTTCTTCACCTTCACCTTCCATTCAGCTCAGTTGTTTTCACATATTTTGATGGGTAATTATTTTAGCACCACTGAGGGGAAACTTTAACACACTAAGTTGAGGTATCGTTTCAACCTGGGTCATATTATCCTAGACTTCTCATCCTGCATCAGCCACGTCTACTCAAAGTTACACTCCAATAAAACTAAAAGTTAAAGTGATGAATGGTAATCCAGCATGGCCCATCCATCAGTCCCACAGGAAGTCATTATTTTGCAATTTACAATTTTTATGAACTAATAACTTCACCTTGGGGGGGTTCAGCCATTTTTCTGTGTATGTTACATCAATAACTTGCAAATCTTCTGCCACTTTCTGAATCACTGTTTAGAGGAAGTTTTCACATTTCCTTGTGAATTTTCAAATTATGCTTCCACCACATGAATGCTTGTAAAATGGATCTTCTTAGTAAAGGAGGTCATCACACTGACATTCAAAACAAACACACTTTTTACCAGTTCATGTAAATGAATTGTGTATGGTATACTTTTATTCCTATTTGCATCAAATTGGTTAAAAATGCATTTTAGGGTCATGTTATGATTAGTTAGATGAAGAAAGAATCCTTGTGTCACTTGTTAGATGTTATTCTGTTATCTCCCGGTTGCTGCTTTTATAAAGCAGTTACTGATTTACTACATTCAGTATTTTTTTATTTGATTTTTTACTTTTTTACTCTTGGACTTAACCAATGAGACAAAAAGAATGTCTCCATTCTATTCTGTTATTGCCCACATCTTTACCTTTTGTTTCTTTGTTTCTTTGTTTTTTACCTCTGATTATTTCAAGCCTCATTAGTTTCATTTACTGGGATCTTAGCTGGTTTCCATTGCAATGACAATAACATTCCAGTTTCTTTCAATGTAACTAGCTTAGAAACTGTTCAAAGTACAAAGTTTTGGATCCACTTGTATCCCTGTATGTCTAGTTTCACCAGACTCGACGGGCAAAACATCTGATTTGATGTTGCTGCTCAGTTTAATTAACTGTTACAGCCATTTTCCACATAGTCCTCTATTTTAAAGGTTCAAAATGAGTTGGACAAATAGAAAATAGTTTTTAAACGTTGCTGGTTGCTCTACTGGAGTGAGATCATGTGACTGACTTGGTAATTGAGCATTTCTTTGCCTGGAGAAACTCTTGGGTTGCGTTTCTAGCATGCTTTGGGTCATTATCCATCTGCACTGTGAAGCACTGTCCAATCACTTTTGCAGCACGCTTTAGAATTCATTCTGCTATTTAAAGATGAAAGTACATATTTAGTGTGCAAGCATATATGTTGGAAATTTGCTATTTGATTTTGAAA